TAGTTAGACATTAAAATTGCTACTTTAGCTTGCTTCTTAGATCCATTTTCTTGAAATATCCTTGTCTATTCCTTCATACTAAAACAATGTCTATCATTGACATTGAGTTGTGTTTCTTGGATACAGCAAAAGGATGGATCCTGTTTTTGCATCCATTCTGTTTGTCTGTGTCTTTATTGGGGAACCGAAACCATGGATATTGGGAGATATCAATGACCAATTCTTGTTGATTCCTATTACTTTGTTGGTGGTGGTGGTAGTGTGTGTGGGTTTCCTTTGTTTGATTGTTATGATGTTAAATTATTTATTTCCTATGTTTTCATGTGTATGGTTAACCTATTTAAGTTACAGTTTTCCTTCTAGCACCTTCTGAAGAGCTGTATTTGTAGATAGGTACTATTTAAATTTGACTTTATCATGGAATATCGCATTTTCTCCATCTACGGTGATTGAAAGTTTTGTTGGATATAGTAGTCTGGGCTGGCATCTGTGGTCTCTTAGAGTCTGCAGCCTATCTGTCCAGGCCCTTCTGGTTTTTAGAATCTCCATTGAGAAGTCAGATGTGATTCTAATAGATCTGCCTTTATATGTTATTTGGTCTTTCTCCCTTGCAGCTTTCAATCTTTCTTTGTTCTGTATGTTTGGTATTTTGCTATTATGTGGCAAGTGGACTTCCTTTTCTAGTCCAATCTATTTGGTGTTCTGTATGTCTCTTACACATTTATAGACATCTCCTTCTTTAAGTTAGGAAATTTTTATTCTATGATTTTGCTGAAAACATTTTCTAGAACTTTGAGCTGGATTTCTTCTCCTTCCTCTATACCTATTGTTCTTGGGTTTGGTATTTTCATAGTGTCCCAGATGTCCTGGATGTTTTGTGTCAGGAGTTTTTTTTTTTTTTAACCTCTTCTTTTATGGATATATCCATTTCTTCTATCATATCTTCAATGCCTGAGATTTTCTCCTGGATCTCTTGTATTCTGCTGAAGAAGCTTGCCTCTGTAGTTCCTGTTCAAGTTCCTAAGTTTTTCATTTCCAGAATTCCTTCAGTTTGGTTTTTCTTTATTGATTCTATTTCCAACTTCAGGTCTTGAACAGTTTTATTTCCTTACACTGTTATTGATTTCCCAGTTTTCTTTAAGGGATTAATTAATTTCTTCTTTAAGAGCCTCTATCATAATCATAAAGACCGTTTTAAGGTCTTTTTCTTGTGCTTCCGTTATGTTGGAATATTTGAGGCCTACTGTGGTAGGATAGCTGAACTCGAGGGAAGATATATTGGCTTCACTGTTGATTGTGTTTTATGTTGGACTCTCATCATCTGGGTTTGTGATGATTGAAGATCTAGGTGCTGATTTCTGGATTTGTCTTTGTTGGGTAGGTGTTTTGTTCCTTGGTTTCTGCTTCCTCTCTGGATTTTCAGAAAGTGTGATTGCTGTGTATTGGCTGTTTTCCTGGCCTGTTCAGCTGGTGAGTTCACATGTAATGCCTGCTGGTGTGGTGGCAGGGAAACTGGAATGAGTTGGAGAAAGAAAGTTAGAGGAGAAGGTCTTTGTGATCCATTAGGGTTGGGATCATACAGAAAAGGAGACTGCAGCAGGTTCCAGATGCAGAGCTGGAGATGAGGCTGGAGGGATTGGATCTCAGGAGCAGAAGGAGAGGTGTGCAACTGACTTCAGCCTACTTGTTGCCCTGAGAGGGGTGGCCCTTTGGTTAGCAGCTAGTGTATGCTGGAGTTGGAGTCTGGGATACAGTGATGAATGGAGAATGGGGGCGAGGAGGAGACAGTCTGTGAATCCACAGGAGATGTGGACAGGGGTGAGTGAAGGCCACCACTGGTATTCTCTTGCAGTGCTCAGGACAAGACTGAGGGATTGGGTCTGGGGGAACAGAGACAGGAGGTCCGCAGGCAGCCTACCTGGGTTTCTGACCAGCCTATTCCTCATACTCTAAGACACTATCTCTTTTGAAAAACCGCCTTTCTTTTTCTCTAGAATGTCCAATCACTGCTACAAGTGTGTGAGATAATAGATTCAAGAGAGAGAATAGCCTTCCACTCTCTTGTTCCTATTAGTACAACACTGATTCATCTACTGGTCAGATCCCACATTCAGTTCTTCTTAACCTTCTTGATAGGTGGCTCAGAGAACGTCAAGGCCAAGGTAGACACAAGGATGCCAGCTGGCCTGGAGCTCCACTTATAGTGATCTATCTTATCTCATCTAGGATCTGGTATCTGGCATGTATATTCTCATGAAATAGCTAATATAGTGCTGAGGGCTAAAGCTTATTGGGAGGATGTTTTACATTTAGAAGTTATTATCCCTAAAAATATTGTGTAATAAGTCTAAGAAGAACACTTAGTCCTGTTGCCACATCATGAACTTCTGTATGAGTTTTGATAACCCATGGGGCATCACTTTCCATGAGTATGGTGTTATAAGGATCTCTTCCTTAGGCTTCTGTATTCTTCCCTTATCATGTCCTGCAATCAGAGATTTGATCTCCAGACTGAAGTCAAATTTATTAACACCACTTTCCTGATTCATTGGAACCAATAATCAGTTCAGACCTGTGACAGTGTATTGCTAATCAGTCTCCTAGACTGATCCTTTCCTCTTTTAATCATGTTTATAAAATATTACTTGTTGCAGTTTCTATAATTTCAATTCTTAATTCTTTACTTATGAAGTTACAAGTATACATTTTTATTTCCAGTAAGAGTGATTATGAAAAGTACATTAGTATTAAAAACTGGGAAAAATTTTTTAAAGAGAAGCAATATTGAAATCAGAGCAAACCACATACCAACTTGTGCTTATAATGAAACAGAAGAGACACAAAATTTGAAGTCATTGATGATTTAAAATAAGATCAGGCCGGGCGGTGGTGGCGCACGCCTTTAATCCCAGCACTCGGGAGGCAGAGGCAGGCGGATCTCTGTGAGTTCGAGGCCAGCCTGGGCTACCAAGTGAG